CGGCGGCTGCGACAGCGCTGACTCAGCCACCGCGCCAGTGTCGAGAAAGGCCACCAAGCAAGTACCTGAATGTCCGGACAAGAAATCAGCGAGACGGCTGAGGTGAAAGCTGACTGGTTTTGCTTTACTAACCCTTCCACTCTCCAGCTAATCCGAGTTCATGCTGGGGCTGGGACGTGTCACCCTGTGCTTGAGGCTCTAACAGTCGTGCATGTAACAGCAGTTTGGTATCATACCTGTTTAAAACTGTTTTAAAGTAAAATACTGGTTTTATTAGCAGCATATCACCCTAAATCAGGTGCAGGTTTTAAATTGCTCAAAGCCAGAAGACACATTCTTAGAAAGTTCCAGTACTCCCCTACGGAATACTCAACATCATCCCAACTCAAAGGCATCAGGGACTTCATAAGAAGCAGATTATTTTGGAGCTAGCGTCGCAAACCAGGCAGGGAGGATGGATTCTCTATTTCACCAGTATCTTATTTAGAGAATAACCTGCCTGAAGCATTTCTTCCCATTTCCAGGCATTTTGTTATCCTCCAAATGAGGAAATGTATTTTTTTCCTTCTCATTTCTACCCCGTTATCATCCCAAGCAATTCAGGGAGATGCTGATGGGAATATGCACACACACGCAGGCTGGTTATGATGGTTTAGCTGGCTGGTAGGGGAGGACACAGTGTTTTCTGAGTACTCGTGTTTTTCCAAGCTGTTTCCTGACCTCTTTCCAAAGACCTTTTCCCTAGTTCAGTTGACAGCAGCTGCTGGAAAGCTCCTCCCCAAGGGCGGAGAGAAGACATTGATTTTTCAAGAACAACTCCACAACATTAAAACAAAACAGGATTGGTGGTGCTGTCAGCAGAGGAAGGGTCTGGAGGTGGGAGCCGTTGGTGTGACAGCCTGAGAGCTTTGCAGGATCATGTTTACCTGTCGCCTGCCTTGGTGGGGGAGATCCAGTGCGACCTGCAAGCCATGGCCAACAGGTCGCTTTCTGCCTCGTGTCTGGGAGAGGTGCCAACCGCCCAGTCATAACGGAATCAACACGACTGTGGGGCAGGCGCAACAGGTCAGCTCACAGCAGAAACAAGTATTGGAAGATCTGGAAATGCCCCTTGTGAGGAGACAAACTGAGACCCTCTTCCAAGAGCAACCCCAAACTGGGAACCCGTATTTGGAAGATGCTTTGCTTCGGAGTTACTTGAAAACGCACCTTCCTCCCAAGGTCTGGCATGCATGTTTGTGTTTCTGTGTGTACACGCTACAATGCCGGCTAGGTTGCTCTTTAAGACTGAATCAAACATTTCCCTGAGGCCTTTTGTGCCTGCAAGCATTCTTTAAAACTTATTTTCTTTGAAGCAGTGCAGGGGCAAAAAATACTGCCAGGAGATAAACAGACAGTGGCTTAGTGGACTCCAGGGAGTGGTCTGGGTGTTGCAAGAAGGGTGTTGTTTTGGGATTGTCAGTGTGGGCATTTGTTGTCTGGTCATCCAGAGAAAGACATTTCAGAGAAGGGGAGAAAACTAAGGTGCTTCCAGAATCTGCTGTGACAGTCCACTTCTCTCCCCTTGGGGAAGGGGGGCTTTTAAGGAAATTCCGAAGGAACGGGGCTCTTCTCAGCGCTCAGGAGGATGCAAAGTCCCGTTGGGGTTTGTTTGTTCTCAGTACAAGTTGTTGGCTTTTCTGGGTTGATTTTCAGACGGGGAAGGCTCTGTATGGATTGCAGGGTTGCAGAGAGGTGGGGTAAGATCCTGAGCTGTGGCTGTCGGTTCTGTGAGGTCCAGTCCTACAGGAACCCCCGGGGAGGAGGTAGCTCACCTCACTGGCTGTCCTCTGCTGTCATCCCAAGGACCGCAACTGTTTCCCACTTTTCAAGGAGCGGGTCTCGTGGAGCAGAGTGTGACCTCTCTCTGGGATTTATTCCAAAGCAAAATACCTGTAAAGCCAGCGGGTGAGTAGAGAGGTGGCACCTGGCTTTCAGTGACGCTCTCCCTGCCACTGCTTGCTCTCCAGACCTGCCAGGCCTTGCAGACCTGGGGTAGTAAGAGGGCAGTGGCAGCGTGGGGAGCTTGCTTTTGTCACAGCCGTCCCAAAAGACAGGAACGAGGGCTCCCTAAGCACCACTGTGGCCTTGTTGCCAGAAGACAGAAGACAGGGGAAAGGAGCATGCCCTTGGGCGACCGTGAAGATCTTCCTCCTAACCTGCACCTTTGGAAGAAGGATGATTCAGATCTCCCAAAGGATAAAAGGATCAGTGCTCTTTCACCAAGGCTGAGAGCTGCTCTCCGCTCCTTCCCCAAAGAGACAAAAGTGGCTGCAAAATCTACCAGAGAATCAGCAGCATCTCCCTTACGTTCCTGTGCTTGGTCCCAGCGGGGCAGTGTTGCCTCACCACTGAAAGGAGAGCCCAGCCGCTGCTATCTGTTTCATGCAGCACCTGCTTGTCTGCAGCCTGGGAGCTGGCTCTCCCTGCCAACACCTCCCTCTCTGGGACAGCAGCCACAGATGATGCTTTGCATGTCCCACTGAAGCAGATGCCGCACTGGAGGCTGATTCCTCTTGTACTATTCACCTGTCTTTTGTGGTGAATGCAGAAATGTTCCAGGAACAGAGTGACGGATTTCTTCCTTTCTTTTGAAGCTGGTTTCTGGAGAACACAGAAGAAAGCACCTGCTTTGTCCGGGCGCTGTTGTGGAGAGGTGTCTGTTGGTCTTTGATCCCCCTGAAAAGATGTCTTTTAATATAAAGCATCATCTGTTTGCACTCTTAATGTGCAATAATTTGCACTTTTCCAGTATATTTATCCCTGGAACGTCAGAGGACAGAGGAGGGTGAATGAGCCCACCCAGCCTGTGCTGCCAGGCAGCAGCTTCAGCCCTGACCCTGATGGTTTACAGGTGCCCCCTCCGTATCCTGGCTGTACATTTTTCTGGCCCACCCGGGCTGCCGTGTGTTACATTCATCAGTCACAAATGTAGGAGCTCTGATTTTGTTCTTTTACCTTGGAAATAACCCCATTCACTTGGGCAGCGCAGTGGTTTGTAAGGCTTAGTGTGGGCAGGGCATGAGCTCACAGCTAGGCAGTCGGGTTTTTTCTTTTTTCTTTTTTTTTTTTAGAAAATGCAGCTGATATGAAGGGACCATTGTAGCTTGAGTTCACTGTAGCGTGCTGACCAAGAGACCTATTTGATAGACTTCATTCTTCTGCCCGCAAAAAACAACCGGGTAAACAGTTCAAAGGTTCTTGCGTGTCTGGGATCAGCAAAGGCCATGAACTCTGGATTCTTAGGTTATGCCTCTAAACCAACCTTCAAATTCTTGTTGAGATTTGTATGATAAGCATTGGAGGCATACACCCACCCCAGCGGAGCTCCACCGACCGCAAACAGGAGCACAGCTGCACATGTGAACAGGGCTCTCATGCGTGGTTTTGGCTTGTTTTGTGGTTTTTAATGCTGAGTATTTCACCGTCCACCTGAAGGAAAACCGGCTGGTCTGAGGATGGAGGCTTCCAGAGGAGTAACTGGGCAGTGTGTGTTGGATCCTCATTACACACGCTGAATGGCGGAGTGGTGAAAGAATCAATCATACGGGATGTAGTTTAATGAAAAGTCAATACAGGGGAAGGCAGGGAAAGGAAGAAGCAGTGTTTGTATTTCATCAACAGCAAATTAATGTGTTTTATAATTGCACTATTTTGTGTATGGCAACCACAGCATTCATCTCCACGGTTGTTATATTGAGGAGGAAATTAACATCTCTTGAGGGGGTGGAACAGCAAAAAATACTTCTCTGATGAAAGATCAGGTGCTTCTGTGACCGTCATGGATGTATTTATGCTAACGAGGGTCCAACAGTGCTAGAGGCTAGGTCCGCCTGGCCTCATTTTAATCATCTGTAAGTCAGGTTATTTACATCTAGACAACTTCACTAGGCTTTGGCGGCAGGCAGCGAAGAGCACTTGCAGAAGGCAATTCCTGTCACCTTAAAATAGGTGTCTGAGGGGGCTGGAATGAATTGCTCCTCTGCAGGTGCCCATTTCCCTCCATTAACTATGGACGGACTACTCCGGCCACATCAGCCCAGCCTGGCTAAAACAAGAGCATTTGAATCCTTACCCGGGGCCATTCAGGAAGCTGGATGCAGGGTGGAAATTTGAATCTAGGCACCCTGGGTGCCAGGCTGAAGCTCAAATGACTGCTCTGTCCCTCCTTTTCTAATCTGATAGGCAGGTAACTACTGAGCCCAGGGGAAGTTTTCCTGTACAGATGAAGGCTTTCAGTTTCTGGCAGCTCTGCCCCTGGCATTCTTCTCCAGCAGTAAATCACAGGGTGGCTGAGGTTGGAAGGACCTCTGGAGATTGTCTCATCCAACCTTCTTGCTCATGTGCATCTGTGTCATTCTCAGCCTTGGTACAAAAGCTCTTCTCTTTTGTAAAATCCAGAGATGCTGCCAAATAACTTGAAAATTATTTTTTTGGGGGAGGAAAGTGACAGCTGAGCACAGCTGTGCCAGCAGAGGCTGGGAAACAAGCTGTCCTGCTGCATTACAAGTGCATAGAAGGGCCAAGTGGCAAGAGGCCACTTGTACCACAGGACAGTATGGCCAGTCGTCTGCCTTTCCAACCAGGACCGAGGCTCCGTGCCTTCCAGGGACATGCTGAAGGGCTTTTCTTGTTGCGTCACAGGTACTGGAGGAGGTGAATCGGGACCTGGAGAAATTTGGAAACCGTCTGCTAACCAAGATCCAACCTCTTGGATGGGAATGCGAGTTGAACCCCCCTGTGTTTCGGCAGTACGATGCCTGGGGGCAGCGGGTGGATCACATCGTCACCTGCACAGCCTGGCGGAGGATGAAGGAGGTTGCAGCAGAAGAGGGGCTGATTGCTGCAGCCTACGAGAGAAGATACTCCAACTGGAGGTAACTGGGGGAGAATGGGAGTGACTTGGTGCCTTGCTGGTTATTGTTAGCAGGGTGTATCGAGCATCTCATCATCAGTGGGAGTGAATTTCTTTTTGTATAATGGGTAACAGATGATGTGCGGACAAAAGCACAGCTACCGCTGTACTGAACAGCAGTCTGTCCGCTGTCATGTTCCACATGGGCAATGATAAGCCGTAACTAATGGCCGACAGTTGATCATAGTATCCTTTGATGACATCTTCCCGATTCTGGGGCCTCACAGTTCCCTGCACTGCTCCAGCTTTGCGTGCATTACTTGTAACACAGCTAACGGCCTGGGATTTTACTGGCAGGTTCATTGTATTCCAGCCTCTGGAGATGGAATTTCTTTTTAAAAACTGCACTTAACATGCACCAGCTGGCAAGCAATGCCTTCCACCCAGCGTTGCACTGGCAATCCCCCTGGGGCTGAGCAACTCTGCTGCTCCTCTCTTCCTGGCTGAAACAGTTTTTGCCCTCTCAGAAATGAGTGATCTGATTCTCACCTGTTTTGGCTGTATTTTATTCCTCTCTTCCCAGTCATGATGTTTTATCCTGCTGTTGAACTGCTGCATCACCTGTCTGTTTTCACTCTCTCTCTTTCCTAGCCGTCTGCATCAGGCTGTCAAACTGTACTTATTTTCAAGCTCCTCTGGAGGTTTCAACTGTCCACTGGCCATGACTGATGGGGCAGCCAAAGTCATTGAGGTATGAGCTCGGCTGGTCTCCGAGGGCACAGCCCATGTCCTGGCAGCACTGGTTAGAGACTGGAGCACTGGCCAAGGACGGAGGAGAGCAGATCTGCCATCTGGCTCTGGGCATGGCCCTTCCTTGCTCTGTGACTCAGCTCCGTCTCCCACTGCCTTTCTCCTACAGTTTCAAAGTCTTTGTGCCCAGGCTAGCTTTTATGTTTCCTTACAACACTGCATATAATAAGGCCTTTACTGCATGTGAAACCTGCAGCACTGCAGGTATTTCCAAAGGCCTCCCATACATTTTTATGACGAGATAGTTTGTTTTCCTGTCCCGCGTGTGGAGTGGCAGTTAAATGTATAGGGTCAGATCCATACCTGATGTAAATTAACCAAGCTAGCAAGACTTGCCCAGTCTGAAGATTTGGCTCTGCATCTTAGCGACACCCTTTGCACTATGTCAGTGGCCATGTAGGATGCAGAGAAAAGCTAGCCCTTAAGTAGCTGGCCCTGGGCATTTTAATTCAATACAAAGAAAAAACCAGCATGAAGCAGTTAGCTCTTTCCTGCGGCTCTTTGGATGATGGGTGACTCTGGTGTATATGAACGTACAACAATACTCTGACACGTGTCGTTTTGAAAGCTCTCTGTCCAGATGCCTAGCGGTGCGGAAATCCGAGGGGGGTAGGGATGCTCAGCACTCTCCTTTGCAACACCAGTCTGCACCGTCTGTCTGCACGGTGCTCTGGCAGCCGTGTAGGTTCACAGACTCCCAACAGTACACGCAGATGCCCCGCAGTGCAGGACCCTCAGAGCCCTGCTCACCTGCTCGCAGGCTCCATTCTGAGCCTAGGACACACCAGCGTTAGTTAAGGCAACTGGCTAATTTAATCTACTGTGTTACGATCTTTATTTCTTTTCCCTCCCCCAAAACAGTCACTAGGTATTCCTGGATCTCTGAAAAATGCATTTGACCATCTGACGTCCCGTGACCCCAAGAAGTTCTGGACCTCTGGCCAGTGGATGACGGAGCGCAGGGGAGGCTCTGATGTTGGTACGTGTCCTGAGGTGGGAAGCGACTGCAGCAGCAGTTAGATGTGTTAGCGAGGACTGAGAAAATGAAGGGGGTGGGGAATGTATAAAGCCAGGTAGCTGGTTTAGGAAACTTCAGCAGCAGAAGTCATCCAAATCCTCCAACAAAAGGCCCAACTCCAGTCCACTGATGCATGCAGCACACACAGGCAGCTACAGAGCTGTGTTCCTTGCACAGATAACACACTGATGTCTAGCTCTGTAATCTAAACCTTGAGCAAGATAGTCAGACCCATCCCATCTGGGACCGAGAAAGCATTCTTGGCCTTTAACTTTTATTCCTTGGCTAATGTTAGTTATAGCCTGATGGGCCAGGAAACCTCAGAACTCTGCTGCGGAGACAGAAACATGGAAGAGGAGTCACCTGCATCTGATGAAGCTGCAGTTGGTTTCCTGGTGGAAGAAGGGAAAGGGTCAGCTGTGGAGTGAAAAGTGTGCGTCACTGCAGCACTCCAGATTCTGTATCACCCTTTGTTGTTCTTGGCCGTGGTAGCTCCCACAGAAATGGAGGCATTGGATTATACACCATGGTGCACTCTGCTTACAAAGCACTGCTGTTACCAGCTGTTAGTCTGGAGCAATTGCTGGAAAGGTGTGCAGTTAAGCAGAGCATATCTCCTTTCTAGTACTTAACTCTGTTTCTTATCCAGGGTCAATGAAAGAGGTTAGCAGCTAATCCGTACTCCATCTTGATAGCAAGAGGTGACTTAAAAGAGCTGCTGCTTAAACTGAAACCCAGCATTGATTGATACAGAAGTTTTCATAAAGCCGAGATGATCTTCTTCCTTGCAGCCAATGGCACGGAGACAGTGGCCAGAAAGCAGCCAGATGGTACATATCGTCTCTACGGTTTCAAGTGGTTTACGTCGGCTGCTGATTCTGATGTGACACTAACCCTGGCCAGGGTAGCGGATGCTGAAGGCCAAGTAAAACAGGTCTGTTTGATGGTGAAGCCCGGTGAAGGAGCAGGGGCATTCTTTTTCTTCCTTGTTCCATTGTAATGAAATCCTTTTTTCGTGCCTTTCAATGGCCCCAGGGTTCCAGCGGCCTGTCCCTGTTCTACCTGAAGGTTCGAGATGAGGAGGGGAAGCTGAACAGCATCCAAGTGCAAAGGCTGAAGGACAAGCTGGGCACGCGACAGATGGCAACAGCAGAGCTATGGCTAGATGGAGCTAAAGCAGAGCTAGTACGTGCGCTTTCACCTTCCTCTTGGGCTTACGCTGGCTTGGCACGGCAAACCACTCGTGGGGGTTTTGCCAGTGAGAGCAACTGAAAAAGTTCCTCTCTTCCACTGCCATGGCTGGCTGTTCACTCCGCAGCATGCTTCACCGATGGGGCTGTGTGTGGGACAGAGCTGAGGAGAGCTCAGGAAAAGACGTGAGGGAAGAAAAAAACCCCCAAACCCAGTCATTTTAGGCTGGTCATTTCCCTAATGCAGTTGCATTGGCCCAGCTGGGGGACAGTTCTATGTCACACACAGGTAGGAACAAGCAGCAGGGACCAGAACTGATCATGCTGACATGGTCTCCAAAGCCACCTCGCTCCTCATGCCACAGACCTGGCTAAAATTAGCCAGCCATATTTTAAAGCAACCAGATCTTTGTGGTGCCTGAGGACAGACAGAGGTGGACTGGACAGCCTGTATCTGCCTGTTGACACAACTTTTGCTTAGATAGGTGCCAGCTTCCAAGGCTGTGCAAAAGGCTTGCATCAGCCTTCGTTCCTTGATGCTTTCAGATCTCTGCTGAGGGTCGTGGAGTGGCCTCCATCTCCAACATGCTGAACATAACTCGGATCCACAATGTCATTGGTGCAGTAGCTTCCATGAGAAGGTGAAGGCAGCATGGAACCCCCCCCCAGGCTGAAAGAGCAGCTTATCAGGACCAGGGGACTTTGCAATGCTCAGCATTGATTGACATCTAATGCCATCTAATGCCTTTGCAGGCACAGGTCTGGAAGCCAGCAGGTTGGCCTAGGGAGGGTGACCTCGGCTGGTGTCCTACAGCCGAGCAGGGTTCTTCCAATGGGGGTGGCTGGAAGGGAGAGCTCAGAAGTGGAAGGTTGCTGCTCTGACTGTTTACCTTGGCTGTATTCTCTCTAGGATGATCTGTCTGAGCAGGGAGTATGCCCGTAAGCGGGTTGCCTTTGGGAAGCTTCTCAAGGACCATCCGCTACACATGCAGACGATAGCCCGGATGGAGGTAAGGTTTTTGGGAGCTGAGTTCAACCTGTTGGCAAGGAAAGAGGGCAAGAGAACCTCAGCTGCTAAGGAGCACAGCCAGCCTGTGTGCAACAGTCAGATGTAGAAAGCTGTTCCTGTGAGATGTATGTGGCAGGGGAATTGCCATTTTCTAGTGTGATTCGATCTGACAATAGACCTAGCTTCACTGATGGACTTCAGCTTATCCTAAACAACAATGTCTGGGAGCTATCCTGAGTGCCAAAGTTCATGCATGCACCTACTGTGCTATGGCATGTCCTCTGAAGTTGGTCATGAGCAATCAAGAGTCCAAGCGTGACACCTCAGTCCCCTAAGCCGCAGTTAACAGACTCTTGTCCAAGGCTGATACAGACTCATCCAACTAGCTCACACACCAGGAGGTGGGCTGTTCCCGCTGTTCCCAGCAGGCTTGAAGAATTCCTGAGGAGTCAACACGCACTTTAGCTTCTGAGACAAGCATGTCTTCACTGTAGACCTGCACAATGCTCATTACCACCAGACACTGAGCACAAGTACAGCCTTTAGGTGTGAACAGCATCTGAGGCAGTAACAGACAGTGGAAGAGAGAGCAGCGTGAACTGGGACTGTGGCCCTGGGCTTTGGGAGGGATTTCACATGTGGGCCTTCGCTCGCTGCAGGATGTCCCACAGCTTTGCCACACACTGAGCTGTAGCAGCTCACTAAATCCACAGGCCAGAGGTGGCTTCCCACCCCTAGTAAAACTTTGATGTTTTAGTAAAAAGGCGGCACAGTTCTCCTCCTCTCACCCGTCCAGGCGCTACTTCTTTTCTTAAGTGGTGTAACACCAACGTTTGCCCTTGAGCTGCAGTAGGCTCATGCAAATTTTTAAAACAGCATTTTAAAGTCCTCTTGGAAGTGGTCAACATGTGTCAAATAGAACTTAAAGCTCCAGCGTCCCTCAGCCTGTGGCCAGAACTCCACCTCTAAATGAAAGGCCAGATCCTATATAGTCCCACAGCACATCCTTATGCACAGGGCCTACAGAGCGCCGTATCCCGATGCTTCCCAAATCACAACTGGCCAGGGAAGTTGCTCAGCAAGAAATCTGTCAAAGACCTTGCAGATCCTGGTGCTCAGAGGTTGACCATTGGGTATGCAGTCTCATGTCCCTTACCCTTGCAAAGGATGTGGAGTTGTGGCCTGGATGCCTGCTAGGGGCTTTGCTAAGGCTCCGAGTAGGCCTGATGAAATGGCATTGCCCCTTCCCTCACACTAGTTTGCAGTGCCCAAGAGAAGCACCTCCAGACTACCTTTGATATTTCATGCTTTGTGCCTTGGCTGGTCAGTGGTCTTTGCCTCTGAAGCTGTGGGTCTGCACCCCACAGGGGTGGCACTTTGCCCAGGAGTATTGCCCATACCTTCGAGATGGCCTCGTGGCACTGGGCTGGAATCAGCCTGAGTCAAAGCTCTTTGCCAGTGCAGCTCCCCACTTCTCTGCTTGCAGGTGCAGACGCGAGGGGCGTTTCTTCTGTTTATGGAGATTGTTCGTCTGCTTGGACTTGTAGAAACCAACATGGCGAGTGAGCAAGACCAGCTTCTCCTTAGACTGCTAATACCAGTCACCAAGCTGTACACTGGGAAGCAGGTACAGAACAACCGGCTCGATTAGCCCAGAGTGGGGCTCTGTGGCACATTAGCAACCACAGAGCTGGAAGGAGGAGTGATTAATACGAGCAATGTGGAGGGCAGCGACAGCAGGGGATACAGGGATACCGGCAGTGAGCTCTAGCTGCAGGGCCTGCAGCAATTACTGTTCTGCACCCAGGTGGGACTTGGCGGGCAGGAGACTTGTCCCTCTGCTCTCAAGGGCACCGATCAGCCGTCTGATCAGAACAGAGCAAGCACTGCCTGTGAAGTGCTCCACGTGCCACAGGGGAACACTGCTGAGGCCGCCCCACGGGCACCGAGTCACGGGGAATTCCCCTAGTTAGGAATAAATAGAAGAGGTGGTGTTAACAGCTTAGCATTAGCCTTAACTTCAGGGGTCTGTCCCTCTTCTGATTGCCCTCAGCTGAAATACACAGCGGCTTACACACCACAGGCAAGTAGAAGGTGAAGGCTCTCCTGGACTAGAGACACGTACTGCCATGTACCAAGCAAACCACAGGTTTATCCTTATCCGGGGAGGGCTCTACTGAGACAGAATCTCCCTGCATCTTCTCCCAAGGTCTGACTGCTCCTGCAGGTCCTCTCTTGGTGCTGCTCAGTCTTTGTTCCCTGGGTGTTTCCTCCTCCATATAATGAGCAACCTGCCTCAGCAAATTGGCAGGATCCAGTCAGTCCCATCCCACCCG